ATATATATACTAGGTACTCAATAAATGTTTGTAGAATTAATTAATTCTGAGTTTAGAAAGGTGGCATGAAATATTCATGATTAGAAATGCTTGGTCCAGCTGTGTGGATGCTAGTGAAAGTCAGTGAACAAGCTACCTGCCTCAGCTTCTCAATTCAGAGATACTCTAGAATTGCTTATATTAATCAGCAGCAGCACCAATTTACTACCCCACTGCTTTGGTATACTTTAGGAATCCCCAAACTTCTAACAGTGACTTAAAAATGTAAAAACCACATTCCTAACCACTATACCACTCTATATCAGAGTAGGGACCTTGAAAGGCCAGGATGTTCCCTCCCTACCCTGCTGTAGTAAGTCTCAGCTATAGATCACATGATGGCCCTTTCTTCCTTTATATCAAGGGATACCATTCACTAAGAAATATCTAGTGCTGTCAAGAACAGTGAGAAGCCTGAGGGGTACTCATCCACAAGAAAAGCTGAAGTTTTCTGTTCCCATAAAAACACTGGACCCAGGGAACTAGAGCCATGGAGGTCCATTTAATCTGCAAAAAATGTGCAGACCTCCCCAGGGAAACCCAAAAGGAAGCATGGCTTTGTTCCTGAGATCTTTTTCAGCTCTGAGTGTTAAAATCTGAAAGACAAGAAATGGAGACTCTCATAAAGTGTCTACTCTTAGCTTCATTTTTATTTTTTATTATTTGTTCCAGTTTTATTGAGATGTAATCGACATACAGCACTGTATTCATTTAAGGTGTACAAGATAATGATCTGATTTACTCTTAGCTTTATAAACCACTCTCAGTTCCATCCTCAAGAGTTGATGCTCCTTGTACGGTTGGGAACATCAGAGTGTGCATACATCTAGCCAAGTGTGGTGATGCTTTCCCTGAAATTAGAACTCGTTTACTGATAGTAGTATAATAAAAGGAAGAAAGCCTGATGCTTCCAATAAATGTAAAAACCCTCCATCTGTCTCCCTACAAATAGATTCACCTCATAAGAGATCATAATGCTGCTAGTGAATCTGCTCATCTATGCTGATCCAGATGGCCTCTAAGGGAAAAACGGAATAGAAAAAGGGTAAGAAGGAAAAGATAGGAGGGGTGGCTGAACATGATGAACACTAAAGCAAAAAGTTGTTTATACATCTTAAAAGAGAAGGCATTATCAGGAAGATTTTAATAGGATAAATCACTGAAGAATTGGGAACAAGGCCTGGGAGAAAGCTTCCCGTACATCCTTTGCATCGGGATTTCGTTAAAAATATGGGCTCTGAAAGCAGACATCCTGGATTCCAAGCCAATCTTTGCCACCTACTACTTTTATGGAACTTGGGGGAATTTGCTTAATCTGTCAGTATCTCTGGTTCCTCATTTGTGAAATGGGAATAATTAACAATTATCTGATAGGGTTGTTGTAAGATTGAATAAAATAATTACATGTAAAGGGCTTAGAAAAATGCCTAGAACATACCAAATACTATCTGTGAGCTCCTGTCATCATTATCATCATCCTCCTCCTCTATTTCCAAAACTGCAATAGGTACTCTTATTTTACTTAGGCACTGCCCTGACCCTTAAGAAATCAAGAGATTTTAAAACTGACAGAACACCTAGGAATAAGGCTTACAAAAATGTGCAAGACCTATAGCAAGAACACGATACAACATTGAAATGTACTTCAGTAAGGTTATATCGTTTTCTTGCTGTAGAACTTACACATTGATGGCACAGACTGTGGACATGTTTCATGGGTGTACACTTATCTCCAAACTCATCAAGTTGTATAGGCCAAATAGGTCGAGGCCTTGTTTGTTAATCATACCTCAGTAAAGTGATTTAAAAATAAATGAAGTCTGTACCTCATCTGAAACCAATATAATGTATATCAACTATATTTCAATTAAAAATAAACAAAAATGCTTAATGAAATGGAGAGATATATTATCTTCTAATATGGAATTGATCAACCTGTAAAGGTATAAACTCCCTCCAAAATAACCTGAATGATTTAATGCAATCCCAATCACAGTCTCAATGAAATGTGTTTCTTTTGTTATTGTTTTGCTCTGGTTGGTTTTTTTTACGTTTTTTTTTTTTTTTTTTTGGTGGGGGAATTGACAAATTCATCATAGAAATTCATCTATCTGGAAGATCAGGCTAAACTGCTCAATCAGGTATGAGTTGTGAAAGGCCTCTGTTAGAAAGGCGCAATAAAGAATTTGAATACATAAAAATTTACCACTTCAGAATGCCAGAAGATACAACATATTGTGCATCTTACATAGTGTGTTGCACATGTGTCATGTATAACATGTGTGTGCACATTTAAAATATGTACACACACAAAACTCATACAGATATATACACACATACTTATCCACAGCAGAGAAAGGATTAATAGCCAGAATATGCACAAGTTAATAAGAAGACAGCCCACTAGAAAAGTGAGTAAGCAATTGAAAGAAAACAATGACTAAACATGAAAAGATGCTCAGCTTCACTCATAATTAAAGAAAGCAAATTATTTATACAATTAGTTATTTAATAGTTACACAACTAAATAATATTTAGTTTAGGATATGAAGAACCAGGCATATTCATACACTATTGGTGGGGATATAAATTTATATAATGTTTTGGGAGGGTTATTTGGCAGTACTGATAAAATTCTAAACACGTATATCCTTTCATTCAACACTTCTACTGCTGAGAATTTACCCTACAAAGTCTCATTCCAGTACACAGATACTTAAAGATGTTCACTGGAGCATAGTTTGTAATTAGTAAACACTTTTTCTGTGGAAAAATTAGAAACAAATTTTAACCCTATCAATAGAAGATGAGGGAAATAAGAATGGTCCAATTCACATATGGGAAACATATTTATCATTATTATTATGTAGGTATATATAAATAACTGTTTAAGAAAGACATTGACAAACATTTGAAAAAGACATGTTGCTGAACAGAATGCCTGATATAGTCCTTCTTTGGCAAAAATATATACACATATTTATGTATACATTTACATAATAAAAAGAAGTCCGGGAGAATATATAATGAATGGCTAACAGAGATTACCTTTGAGGAGTAAAATTACACCTTCTTTATATATATTCTGCATGGTTTTGGATCCATAACCATAACTGATTTTTATAGTTAAAATAAGAACCAAAAATATAACTACATGATCACAATTAAAAAAAATTCAAACCATATAGAAGAGTATAAAGTAAAAGGTAAAAGTCAGCTGACTTCTCATTCTCACTCCCCAGAGATAAATCATTTCTCGCATATCTTTCCAGAAATTTTCTGTGCATATACAACAATTATTTGTAAGTCAAACCAGTTTGTACATCTATTACTTTTATAATGTATACATATTTTAATTAGATGATTTGATGACCCTCAAAATTCTCAGGAGGAAAAGCATCAATTCCAAAGATTTTCTTCCTCACACTACTGTTAATTTCAGGTATGTGAAAAGCTTCAAGACCCTTATAGAACTTCATGAACAATTCTTAGTAGAGAAAAAAAGAAAAGAAGGTAAATTTACTCTTTAGACATACTTGAGACATGGGGCTTTGCCAAGCAGGGTCAGTGCCTCATAATAAGGAAATGGTAGAAGGCTGTACCCTGAGCTGTACCAGCTCCAGCCCAAGCAGATGATGCTAATATCAGGCTGTTAAAACTTATTAACAGCACTTTATCTTGACTTTGAAAACACTGATTCACATTTCATCCTCTGCTTGAGGTGTTACTCATCTCAGGATCCCTCTTTCACAAGTAGGAAATTAAAACAGTGACCTCTTTGGTAACTTCCTTTAAAGATCACAGAGGCCGGAACTGACTTTCATCAGTATTCATTCCACACCTCTGTTCCTGCTCCCTGATGGAGTTGGGAGAAGTGATTAAATCAGTGATTAAATGTGGCTGATCTGAATCAACTGAGGTGCTTTCCAAAAATACAGATTCTTGGGCTCTCCACATGCAGATTGATTCAGGTCTGAGCAGGGGATATAATTTTTAAAAATAGCTTTCACCCAGTAATATGTTTTCTCATGATCAATTACATTTGAGAACCTCTTATTTAAAGACAGCTATCCTCAACCAACCAACCAACCAACTAAAAAACCCTCAGTATAATTTAAACAGTCGGGGTTTGGGAAAAGGTCCCACTGACTGCTGGTATTACTAACCTCTGGGCCCAGAGAGGATTTACCTGCAGCTTATCTTAGTTTAAACAGCTTACCTCAGTTTAAGAAGTCTGACAGGCCTGAGGTTCTGTCTCCCCAAGTTCTTTGCCTATCTACCCGTGCTGTCCAGTAGAATTTTCTACGATGATAGGAATGTTCTGTATACTTGTGCTGTCCAATACACTAACCACTAGCCAGACGTAGCTAATAAGCACTTGAAATGTGGCTAGTATGACTGAAGAAATAAATTTTTTACTTCATTTTTCATTTTCATTTTAATAGCCACATGAAGCTGGTGGCCAGTGTATTGGTCAGCTCAGGTCCAGATTTCTAAGACCCTTCATTTTAGTGGAACCCTCCCCTCTCCTGACCCCACTCACCTCTACCCAAGGGAACCTCTGCAGAGATCAGGGTCACATAGAGCTGATAGGTCAGCTGGGGCACTGAGCCCAGGAAGGCTTGGATCTGTGACATACGTTTGTAGGCATTACGGTGCATAGCCAGGGTCCGGATGGAGTGGCCCACCTCCCATTCTATCAGCACCTCCTCGCCATTTATTAGCATCTTCTTTCGGGTGAGGCTGACATAGGGCTCCTCCTGTCCTTCTTTCTTCCATAGTGTGAGGTACTTAATCATGGCCTCCAAACATCTGCAGAAGTAAAGCATCATGGGAACTTAACTAAAGCTGTCCTGGGAAGGGAGGTTGTAGTAAGGGGGGAAAATAATACCCTTCAGGGAGGTTGTGCTACTCTTGCCATTCCTTCTCTCCCATTCTATTTGTTCCTCATGCGTCAAAGAGCTGTCCTGCCTTCTGAAAGTTGCTTGAGGTTAAATCTTTTTTCTGTTGGGTTGGTCATCAACCAACCTAGGAACACCATTTCAAATGTGTTTCTTTGAGGATTTAAGGAATTGCTTTGCCTCTCCAGAACAGGCCTATAGCAGGAAATTGCCTTGAACACAAAGATATTAATAATGTGTTGAGAGAGAATGAGGAAGGTTCCAAAAGGCCCTGGTTTTCATAACACCTCAAGTTCCTGAGATAAAGCATTTCTTATTCAAAGCATTCGGCTCTATAATCAGGAGTTCTGTTTTTCAAGACAAAGCTCACAACTATAACTGTCTCAGCCAAAAAGTCTTGGAGGGGATCTCAAAATACCTACCACATACACGGGAAAACCATTTAGTAACAAAGGTACTTCAAAGGTACTCAGAACCATATGTACTATGTACCTTAGGGAACCTCAAAACTTTTCTCTACAGGTTGTTTTGGGGCCTCTTCAGCTGTTTGGGGACAACAGTCTTTTAAACTTCATTCTTCCATTACAAAGAGGAAAACATACTTATGAACGCCTATCACCCCCTGAAGTAGTGATTAAACCACATTTCCTGCAGTACTCCTCCCATCTTCCCCACATAAATCAGAAGTTGTTAGCAGTTGATGTGAATAGAAGAAGCTAGAGCATCTTATTTTGGAACACCTGAGTTACCACTTCCCCCACTCACCTTGAAATGAAAGGAAACTGTCAACTATGTCTTATCATAAGAACAGTTGTGGTGGAAATTAAGCCATCTTTCCTGTCAGACAGAGGGCATGGATTGTATTTATCTTGCCCACCGCCCTTATGACATAATGGGTATTCGATAAATACTTGCTGAGTCGATGAGTGAGAAGGAAGAAAACAAATACAGGATGAAAAATGATAGGAGGAGAGGATAATAACAATGGCAATGCAATTTAACAGAAATATAAACCAAAGACAAACTCAGAGATTGATATGCCCTCTAGGCCTTTGGCTTCCATGAGGAAGGTTGGAACCTGCACTGGCTGCCATTCTCCACAGGATCCCTTGAGATTGGTGCGTGTGGGCTGGTCAGAAGCATGTCATTGGAAACATCCACTTTCTAGGGACAAACTCTAAAATCCAGGAGGTAAAAAAATGGTAGGAGAGAAGAGATAAGAAAAAAGCAACATTCTCTTCCTATTCAGGGAAAATTCATGAGTGCATTTCCAACAGAAGATTTTAGATTTTTCACCCAAGCCCACAATCGGTATTGCCAAATAAAATATTGGGGGAGGCAGTGGCATGAAGCATTCTGTCTATGCTTCTATTCTTAAAGCTATTTACTGGTTTAAGTAAGGCTATTTGCCTTGCTTATAAGCTTCAGTAGATTACATTTTCATTTCCGGAAGTATATGTGTATTTCATATAAGGAAGCCAGGCCTGCCAATCACCTTCCTGTGCCTAATAGCACTAATCAAGTTCCTACCTACCTAAGAAGTAATTTGCCTTGAAAATAAGCATATCAAGGATATAATTTATGAGCTTTTAATTTTTCCCTGCTGTGGGGCTAGCTGACTGAGATTATTAACACTTCCCAATCATTTCTAGTGGAAGCTAAATAACAAAAATGAAACACAGTACTCAACACTCCATATGGAGGGACCAAATCAAAGATGGCTTGGGAGGTCACAAAGCAAATGAGGGAAGTCAAAGCTGGGGTCTTGGGGCAATGCTTACTGAAATTTGCACCTTGAGAGTGCTTGATCTGTTAACTCAATATATTTTATTTGAAAAGGGAGAGAAGAATGGTTTCCTCTGAATTTCTTGGTTCAAAATTCAAGATGAGGTCTTGCTTTTACAGTTTAACTTCAAAGATTTAGAACTGGAAAGGACTTTTAGACTACCTAGTCCAAACATTTGCATATAGGCCAGCTGAGTCACATCTGACTAACAGCCCACACCGTATTTTTATTTGTTGCCAAAATTTAAAATCATGATATTTCATGTAAAATCTTGTCATGGAAGCTTCTCCTGAAAAGTTGGGGGAGCTGGCAATACAGGGTCTCAATTCCAACAGGGAAACAATGGGCTGGAACTAGAGGGTAACTGCCTCCTTCAAGCAGACTCTTCACGGGACTTCAGATTGCCACAGACTCACTACTCTCCATCATATCTTTAACACTGACACTTCATTTTCATTTATCATTACACATGAAGTTGTTTTTCTCATACTTGGCCCACTTCACTCATTTATGCGAACTGCATGGTCCTTGTAAGCATTTGAGTTTGAGACCCATGTTCTAGTACAACTTACTTATTTTACAGATGAACAGGGACCCACGGCATCTTCAGAGATCTCACCAAGGCCATGCTACTAGTCCATGATGGAGTGAGGACTAGACTCCAGGTCTCCTGAATTCCAGGCCACTGTTTCTGTTGATATCCCATATTTTTTTTGATGGAGCCTAATCAATTCCTCTCCATTTAAACATACTGATAAAAAAATTTATCATTCAAGTGGAGAACAGGAGGTTAATAGCTGGACACCACTTGGTATTACATTCAATATGGAATAAAGAGAATAAGATCTATTTTTTTTAATTGTAAGGGGATAGTTCTATCCTTAATCAGTTTTAGACTGTGTTTGCTTCTCTAAGGATGAAGTATTTTCCCATTGCAATTGCAACATCAACACTTTGACGCATATTCCTCAGCTGACTGCAGGTTTCTGCCTCTCTTGCAATCAGGACAAACTTGGTCCATTCCTTCCTCCTGACCTCATAAGTTTTGCAACATCTGCCTACCTTGAAAATCCCATAGCTTCCAGATGAGACTGCTCACACAGATGCCTGTCTCCCTAGGATAAGGCACATACTCATTCCTTTAAAGCAATCTGAATGGAAAGACTTGATACTATTACATTGTGGTACAGCAGCCAGATGGAGAGATGAGCTATCTTCCTTCACCCCCTTCCAACCATGTATCTTTATTACAGAAAGATACAAAAGAGAGAAACAGGAGATGGTGAACTGACAGAGAAAAACAAACTACAGTGGATTGGGATACCAGATGACCACAGATGGCTTAAAGTATTTTTCAGAAATCAAATAACTCCGGAAAATTTGAAAATGGCAGCACCAGCCCAAGCAGCTCAGGGTAAAGAAACAATGTGGAACCCAATTTACAGAAGGCCTAAAAGACAGAGTCAAAATAGCACCCTCTGAAGCTATGGTCTGTGTGTATAGGGTGACCATGTCAGTTGATCCATACCAATTTTCACAACCCAAATCCAAGTATCAAACATTGTCTACTGAAGTCTTATCAATGATACCATACTTTTGGAACATAGGTACATGCCACATGTTCACTGTGGTGGCATTTAAGGTTTCAGATAAGATATTTTGGATGGTAGGCAGGGAAGCTAAGAGTGGGAAGGAATGAGAATCAATTAGATTAGAGGCATAGTGTCAGTCTTGTAACTATTAGCTTCATCTTTCTCTGCACAAACTGGGGGAGGTGGGTAAGGGAAGAGATTAAAACGTTGCTCACCTGATAACAGGTCCCAAGAGGATGAGATGCATAAACAATGATAGTGGCTTGTCTTTGGCCAGATCTCTGTGGACAAAAATGAGAGTCAGCTGGACCATAATGGATGAAAACATAAAGAAGGATAAGGTGTATGCCATCCAGTAGGTTTCATTATTCTTTCGATAGATTCTAACCATATACAAGGCAGATGCAGCCTCCCCACAGTACAAAAAGGTAGAAAAGAGGATGCCAAATGGAAAAGTAAATCGGGGGTTGGCCCCACGGATGACATCTTCCTCCAGAGATGAAATGGGATCCACGTTTGGCTCGTCAGGAATTTCATAAACTTGGTCCATTGTCGAGGTTCTGAGTGTTGTGGTCTGATCTTCAGAGCATCCCTCACCCTCACCCCCAAGCGAACCCTGTAGCCACTACTTTCCAAGTATTAGTGAAGAGATCTATCAAGTCCAATTCCGGAACGGAGATCTGATAGATTAGGAGATCTCTCTCTCCTAGTCTCAAATTAGACTTGTTGGAGCCTGGGATGGAGAGTCCAGGAGTACCACTTTGAATTTGGCTCTTGATTGGCCCAGGATTCCAATCGTCAACATAAGTGCCGTAAAACTTGGACAAGGCAAAGCAAGCATTTTAGCGCCCAGTCGGGAGTCCAGTTCCAGGCACGTGAACAATCATGGCAACAGCTGTTTCCGTGGCTGCTCCTCCTTGCGCAGCCCGAAGGCAGGCGTGTACCCACTCTGTCCGGGACACCGACGCTCAGCAGCTCCTCTCGAGGAGTCCTGACCAGTGGCGCCCTCTCAAATCAGCCGAGAACTGAGCCGGGGCAGAAGATGGGGCGCTGCCCGAGCGTTCCTTTGGTGATTCATCTCAGTGCCTAGGTACCCTAGCTATTGCTAGGCTGTGGCTATCGGCTCGCCCGCCCGCCTGCTCGCCGGCTCTCTCCAGACCCGCGCCGAGTGGAGGGTTCCCAGGACAGCTACTCGGATTCCCCAAGCTCCGCCCCCGCGGGCCGCCGGCCCTAGTGCTGGAGCAAAGCCACAACCCGGTCCCCAAGCGCAGCCTCCGGGGAGAGAAGCAGCGCCCGCGCACGCGCTACCGGATCCAGAGGCCGCTGGAGGGGCTTCTTTTCACAGAGAAACTTTGCTAGCGAGAAGCACGACGTGCGGGGCGCCAACCTGGTTGGGCAGATGTCACCAAACTCTTGGGCGCCATCCGCTGCCCTAGGCCCGCAGTTCCAGCTGTGAGAAGTCAGCAGCTTCAGGAACTGAGGCACCGACGACGAGGGCGGGCGGAACTGGAGAGCCAGCTGGGGCAAACAAAGCCAGCCTGCAGGTTCCGGGGTGGGCAGTCGAAGGATGCTCGGAGTGGAGAGGCGGAACAAAAAGGCCAATTTTCCAAAGCATTTCTCCCCGTGGCCCGGAGCCCCGGGCCCCAGAGGGAGCCTCAGTTTTCCCGTTCCCCAAGAGCAGCAAACGCCCACTTTTATCCCTCCCTCCCTAACTAGCTCGCTGTCACGCTTGCTCAACCCACGCGGTTAGGCAGGTGTGTCTCTCCGGGCCCCAGGGTTGAACCTCCCTCGGTCTTATTGCCCTCCAGATAGTATCACGGTGGGGAAGTCAGGAGACCTAAGAGGCAATTGGGTCATAAAGTTCCTTTCCATGCTAGACTGTGCACCGCAAAGAGAAGACAGAAAAGGAGAGGCATGGGGGCGGAGGGGAGCGTGAAGACTCCAGGTCAGTGAGCACTGAAAGCTCATATTATATGACTTGATTTCTCCACTTGTAAAATGAGGCCAGTACAGGAACTTTAGAATGAACGTTCATGTCATTGGTTGGAAGGTTCTGAAGAGGTGCCAAATTCTAAACAGACCTGAGAGGCACCAAGAGAACTAGTAGTAAAAACAGGGATGTCTTAAAGAGCTCTGAAAACTGCCTGCATTCTTAAAAGCAGTCCTCCCCCACCTTATAGAGCTTTTGTTTTCGTGCCTTCATTTGCATAATTCTAAACCCCAGAGAAAAAGAGAGAATATTTGCCTCCTGGTAATAATCTAAATGTAGCACAGCCTGTGCCAATCTTTTTTTCAGGAAGTCAGTAAAAAGAATCTGTGAGGAGTGGCCAACTAGCAGCCACCAAAATATTGGCCTTGAGTAAGACTCAGCCTTGTCCTTTTGTAGGTTTTTAAGATTGCTGTAATTGTTACCTTCTTTTCCCAGCGCTGATTGACTGACAGATCAACTTGTAAAGGTAGTTGCCTTTGAAGAGGACTCACCAGCTTGGTCTGCACCTGTGCTAGCAGCTGGCTGATCCTTCCTCCTTTACATTTCACAAAGCAGGTCATCACTCTCTGAGAACTCTTCACACATAGCTTTGATCTGTTGGGTCTTTCCAACTGGCACAAGGTTCTCCACCAACAGTATAAAGTACAGAGCTTGAGGGCTTCTTAGGAACCTGTTCTCAAGGTGGATCTCAAGGGTCAAGTCTCATCTGAGTTTACTGAGATGGGATGAGTTGGTCCCCCTAATACAGGAGACTGAAGCTAGGAAGAATGTAGAATCCCAAAGATTTTCTTTTAGCTTTTCCTCCTTCCCTGTGCCTTCACCAATTCATGAATACACAAATCTACAAGGCCTTCCTACTTTGCTCCAAAACATAACAGCGTTGTCTGCCATTCCACGCTCTCTTATTAATAATCATCACTACTTCCCTCTCCAACTTCATTGCCCATGCTACCCTACCACACAGCCTTTGCTCCTGTCCAGGAGGTTTTCTCACTTAATCAGATCTGACTTGCTCACTCCCACCTTCGTGCCTTTTGAGGCCATTTACAGCCCCCTTCACTTGTTTCTCCATTAGTCCAAACCCTAACCTTCCTTCATGGGTTAGCTCAAGTACCACCTCCTCTGGGAAGCCTTCTCTCACTTCCCCAACCCTTACTTTGCCCCGTCTTTGTACTACAGCCACATGCTCCCTTACACTAGTCCTTCAACTCTGTTTGTGTGCCTCCTCAACAGAAAAGTAGGCTCAGGGAGGGATGTTCAGTGTTTATTCTTGCTGATGATACTAGTGATTGACAAATGGTGATAATGATGAAGCTTCCTCCCCCATACTTCCTCCAGGAAATCATGCAAAACTCAGGCACACTCATCTTTAAAACCTGTAGCCACTCTATCTGGGGCATAAAGTCCACTGCCTCAGCCTGCCATTCAGCTCACTGAGGATGCCAACCCACATGATCTGTCCCTTCTCAGAGTTCCTACAGCATTTTGTCAATACTACAGTTTAGCACAAAATTACAAATTAATTCAAGTGTATTTTTATTCCACAACTCTGCTCTGGAAAAGCAGAGACACAACTGTTACACTTTTTTTTAGATGCCCCCATGGCTGCTATAGACCTTTAAGTTTCCTGCCATCTGATCCCCCTCACCCACCAGCTTCTCCCTTTTCAGCCTTAGGACTCTCTGGCGCTTTAGGTCACTAAATCCTCTGGTCTCTTATTTCCTTGTTCCTTTTGCCCTGCTGGGAGAAACTGAGAATTTGCCCTGTTTCTGTCCAGCTCTTTTCTCTTTCAGGCAATCTCTAGCCTCCAGTCCTTTACTCTTCTTAAGACTAGAGACACTGGAAATGTTGCCACTCATGAGTTGTGCTGAGTCCCTGGGAACCCCATCTGCATTAAGAGCACTGACCACCCAAGAACTGGTCATCTGAAGTGACACCCTTAGACTGCCCCCCATATGCTTGGTAGTATTTCGAGTCAACTTCCTCTTCTTGCAGAACCAAAGTTCTTCAGGAAAGGGAGACCCAAGATTTGACTCTTCACTGCCCCCACCTCCAACCCCCATCTCAACAGGAACAGAGATCAGGTCTAAATGCTCCTGGCATCTTTTTCAACATGCAGAACCCTTCTGAACCATTTAAGGCTTAGGGACAGGTTTGAGCTTCCAAAGCCATCGCAGCCAGAGCTGGCTCAGAGAGTAGTTGGCATCTAGAAGGAAGAGGAAGGAAAGGAGAGAGATGTACAGCAAATGTCTGCCAGTCCAGTCACAGAGCACTAGTTGATAGGAGGTAATGGGCAAGGCCCAGGATCAGTAGCTAGGATGGAAGAATGGCTTCCTTCTATAGAATGCTCAGTTTGGACTGTTAGAATCCTTACAAGCTATCTAATGCAAAATTAGTCATATATCCTCTGGGTCCTATCTTTTCGCTGGAAGCTTCCTGAGGACAAAGAAGTTTGCCTGTCTCATTCTGAGCCACGCTCACATCTGTATCATCCATAGGTTGAATGTGAACCTGGAGTCAAAACCCAAGTGAGTTCCCTGCGGCCTTCACCCCCAGCATTTTTCTTTTTAAAAATTTGGTTAAAGTAATTATTTAAATTAGCATTTAAAGGAAAGAAGTGCTGTTGCAAAATGCAGCCTGGAATCTGGGGATGATGGGTGTTGCCAGGCAGTTGGTAAGCTCTACTTACATTGCCTGGTGGAGGGGAAGGATGGGAGAGGGGAAATATACTGAATATTTTTTATTTCTTAGAAAATGGCCATATTGACATTACATATTGAAATACAATTCACCCAAAGTGTACAGTTAAGTGGTTTTAGTATAGAGTTGTGCAGCCATTACCACTACCTAGTTCCAGAACATTTTCATCACCCTAAAAAGAAATGCCATACCCATTAAGTTCTTACTCCTCATTTCCCCCTCCCCACCCAGAGCCCTAGTCAACCACTACTTTCCATCTCTATGGATTTGTCTGTTCTGGGCATTTTATATAAATGGAATCATAATATGTGGCCTTTTGTATGTTTGGCTTCTTTCACTTAGCATAATATCAAAATTTATCCACGTTGTAGCATGTATCAGTACTTCATTTCTTGTTATGGTGAATAATATTCCACTGTATGGATATACCACATTTATTTATCCATTCATCAGTTGATGGACTTAAGGATTTGTGTCTATTCAGAGTTCTCCAGAGAAACAGACCAAATGTTGTGTGGAGAGCAGGGGAGAATGATATTTTAAGGAATTGGCCCACATAATTATAGAGACTGGTTTGCAAGACAGGCCAGCAGGCTATAAGTTCAGGATAGAATTGATGTTGCAGTCTTGAGTACAAAGGCTAGAAACTCAAGCAGAATTTCTAAGTGTCAGTCTGGAGGCAGAATATCTTCTTCAGGGGACCTGAGTCTTTGCTCTTAAGGCCTTCAACTGATTGGGTGAGGCCCACCACCTTATGGAGGGTAATCTGGTTTTCTCATCATCTACTGATTTAAATGTTAATCATATCTAAAAACGTATCTTCACAACACATCTAGACTGGTGTTTGACCAAACAACTGGGCACCATAGCCTAGTCAAGTTGACATATGACACTAGTCATCATAGTGTTGTTTCCACTTTTTGGCTATCATGAATACTGCAGCTAGAAATACTCATATGCACATTTTTGCTTAAATATGTTTTCAATTCACTTTAGTATATATCTACAAGGAAAATTCTGCATCATGTGGTAAGTACATATAAATTTTTGAGAGACTTCCAGACTTTTCCAAAGTGGTTGCACCATTTTACATTTCCATCAGCAGTGTGTTTCTCCACATTCTCAATACTTGTTATCTGTCTTCTTCATGGGAGCCATCTAGTGGCTTTTGGTTTGCATTTTCCTGAAGGATAAACATGGGTAAACTGATTGTGTATATCCATGTGTGTGTGTATGTGTGCACTGCATGTATGTGGTCATTTGAACACCAATTAGCCACATTCATTCAATTATTTCAATAAACATTTGTAAATATTTGTAATAGTATTATGCAAGACAAAGATCTCTACTCTCAAGGAGTTCACACAGTATAACAGACATTTGTCCTTTTTGGGAGTGTTGCTGTCCAGCATTTGAACCCCTTTAATTAGGGGAGAGAGCATAGGAATCTTGATGGGAGACAGGTCCCCCTTGCAGTCAGGGCACAGGCATGTGACTTAGGCTCACTCAGTCTAAGGATCCATCCCTTGAACTGGGAGCCAGTGACCCCAAGTAGTGGACACCCTTCTCCAATTGAGACAATCATGAAAATGTGCCTTCTTCCAGTGTGGAGAGTATAATTGACCTTTGCCCCGGGTACTATGCTCTAAATTTACCCCAATATTTGATGCTTTGTTCTGCAGCCACACTGCTCCCAGTCAATGACTGAGCACAGTAGGGATACTAACTCAGGCCCACTTTTGTGAGACACAGGAATATGTGCCCTGTAATTTTGACAACAGGACTACCCATCAGCCTGGCCAAACTTTATTAGCACTGTACTTCAGTCTAGGACTCTTCCTACCTAAACTTCTTCTTTCCTTCTCTCATCCAGAAAGGTCAGCTTTACACTGCAGTCTGACAGCTCTCTCAGTTTCCTCCACTCCTTCCCTATTTTCTCTCATGGCATCTTCTCCAATAAATCTCTTGTATGTCTAATTCCAGCATGGTACTCCTCCTCTAAGGACCTGAGCTAACACACTAATGGTGCTAGTGGTGGCAGTGGCAATAACTGCAGCAGCTGTGATGTTGGCTGTGTAGCCCGAGTCTGGCTCTCCAGCCCAACCTGTGGTTCTGTAAGCTATTCAATGTGCAATCAAAACAAACATTTTCTGCTTAAATTAGCCAGTCAATTTCTGTTACTCATAACTGAGAACCTTCTGGATTATACAGGGAAGAAACAAAAACATTCAATTACAATACAGCATGATAAGGATTATGATAGAAGCACAGCCCATGGGAGCACATAGGGGGCACTTAACCCAGTCTTTATATCATTCTCAAGTGAAATAACTGTAATTGCTAGTCAGACCTTGCCACTAATTTTGTAGGCCACCCGAAATTCAAAGGCTCAGTGCATCTTCCCAATTTACCATTCCTTAGGCAGTAGTTCTAGTCACACTCATACAAGAATCACTTGGAGAGGAGGACAACTTGGAGACTCCAGGGCCCCATCCTTTGAGCAATGCAGATGCTCAGAGGATCATATTAAGAAAAACTGTCCTAGGGTGAGCTCTATAGTCTGTTCCTAGAACAATTTTGCCCATCATCATAGTGTGTGCCTCATAAATATTGGCAGCAGATGACCCTTCTGTGGCCTGGAAAAGAGTTAAGATAGACTTAAGAACCCTTCCACACACAAGGATGTGTCCCTGAAACCAAGCCCTTGATTGCCTCAGGCTGTCCACAGAAAATATCACCTGTAGTTTGCTCCCTGGTACATTCAGTAAAAATAAACTATCTGCACACCCTTTCATAGCCTTTCTTACTGGGCACATTACACATTTGTTGGACCTTGAGGTGCTCAACCTTATGGCCAAGGAAAGGAGATTTTCCAGCAATACCAAGAGTAGTAAGGGACTCCCTCTTGACTGCATGATGACTCAATGGATGACCTGAGTAGAAAGCAACAAGTAAGACCATTGAATCTTGTGCCATTACCAGATCACCTCCCAAGAACTCCTGCCCCTCTTACTTGGCTTTACTACTAGAGGACTTCAGCACTAATTGAAAAATATTACTAGTGGGAGAAGTCAGAGCAGCTTGGAAAGCACAGTAAATTAGGTTGGCAAAGTAAAACCCTGAAAAGAGATATTGGATAAAGATAGGATAATGAGAACACAGCAGGCCAGAGAATGCACAGTCCTGCCTGTCAGGACAGAAATCAGGCTGTGCCAAATCTCTCTGACAGACAACGGTGTAGTGTAGCAAAAAGGAGCTACACTATGGACTGAAGTAAAAACTGTGGGCTTTATGTCTGAATCTTCTTCTAAATCTCTGATCTTGGCCCTCTCTGGGATCTCTAAGAACCCTTCTAGCTTAACATCCTGTGACATCTATGGAGTTAGAAATAGCTAGGCTTCCTATAATCTTTGATTGCACACATAGTGGATTTGTAACCATCAAGTGACTAAAAAAGCCAATGACCAAAGTGCCTGAGCCAATTTCTCCTAGAGATGTACTCTCATATGTGAAATAGAATATGTATAAGCATGTTTTGTAATATCCAAGGATTGGATGCAACCTAAACATTCACCAATGAAGGACTACTTAAATAAACTCTAGTGCATCTACAAGAGTTATGGACTACTATGCAGCCATGCAGCCATAAAGAAACTCCTTAGGTATGGATATGAAATAGTATTCTATGTATTTAGTGAAAAAAGCAAGGTGCGGAATAGCATTTATGGTATGCTACAATTTGTGTAGAAATTAAGAGTGCACATATACAAATATGTATAGAATACCTCTGGGAGGATACACAAGAAACTGATTACAGTGACTGAGTCCAGGAAAAGGAAATAGACAACTAGAGAGATGGTAGGGAAAATATGTATTCACCTGTACAGAACATAAAGAAAAGAACCTTAACCAAGCATGTCACAAACCCATTTTCTTCAACCATCTCACAGAACCTAAGTGAACAAACTTAGTTTAGGAAGGGCTTCGTTTCTGAAAGCAGAAAGAAGAGTCTTCGGCAATTTCCTGGTTCACCCTTGTCTCACAAATGTGTCAGTGGCTACCATGGGTCTTCTGCTTTTTTTTCCTTCTCTGCCTTCAAGACTTGAAGGTCCACCTTGACAGTTGTTTCAGGCGGCTGACTGTCAAAGGAAAGTGGAGAGTCTAGAAGCTTCTGTACAGGTAAGGCCTGGAAGAAAAGTAAAACAGCAACCAGAGTTAGGCAAGTTTGTACCTAAAGAGACTTCATGGAAAAAGCTGTCACTGCACCCCATGGTACATTGGAAGTCACTGATACCAGGCTACATTACCGTGACAAGAAACTGAGTTTCACTTTCATTATCAGTCCCCTAGAAGAACAAAGAGAGTTCATTCTTTTTTTCTGAAATAAATCATAAACAGCATTCATTGAAAGCTAGTGGCAATATGAAAAGTACAAAGTTTAAAAAGATACATAATACATAGCCAGGAACTAACCATGGTCAATACATTCAGTGGGAAGAGCAAAATGATCCTCTATTTGGGCTTATTTTATGAAGGATAATCATATGTCAAATTAAGTGAAGAATTATGCTTTGAAATACAACTCAGCAAGCAAAAAGCCTAGGAGGGCTTGGTTTTAATATTCTGAATGGGCAAATTTAGCACCTTTTTGTGCAATGTAACTGATTAGTTTTAACTATCATACAATTGAATACACTAAAAGAGTATTTAGTTTAAATAATATTAATACCAACATTGAGTGCTTACTATGTGCCAGGTACTATTGTAAATCACTTATGATCTCATTTAATACAATGCCCCTATGAGATAGAAACTGTGATCACCTCCATCTTATAGATAAGGACATTGAAGCACAGAAAAATTAAATGGCTAGTCTAAGCTAAAACAGCTTAGGTAATAAGGCTGGGATTTGACCCCAGAAAGATAGGCTCAGGTGCCTGGATCCTAGTCATTTATAATAGCAAACAAATTGCAGGGAAATATTAGGAATAACTTTGACATTTCCAAGGTTACTAAACAGAAAGAAGATCTGGATTTGTGATGGTTATATCTGACCTACTTCAACAGTCACCTGACTGGTTTCCTTACCTAGTTGCTACATCCTACGCCTTCCCAACTGGCCAAGCTTCCTGTGATACCTCTATCATGTCACTCCTTTGACCAAAAGCTTCTAAGGAATCCCTTCTGCCTATCTAATAGATCTCAAACTTGAATGTACATCACACACACCTGGGAAGCTTGCTTAAAATACTAATTTCCTAAGCTTCAACCCAGAAAATTTAACTTACTAGGTCAGGGTGGGGGAGTGGTGCCAGGGAATTTGTACTGTAAGCAAGCTTTGCAAAACATCGGCCTGTGGGGACAAAGCCCACTTTGTTCTAACATTCAAGGATGTCCATGACCTGGCCCAAGCCTACCAAACTCCCAATATGAATGCTCGATTCCAGAATGGCCATTGTCCTCAGACTTTTCCTATAGGAGGCATTTATAACTTCAAGCCTTTGCCTCCCTACTCCAACCCATCTGGAATGACCTCCTGCCTTGTTTCCTCCTGTCCACACACTATACATCCTTCAAGGTCAAGCCTGAGTTTCACGTGCTAAGACTTGCCTTAAATTCTCTGGCCCAGAAGGATATCACTCTTCTTCTGAACAATTAAGTCTGTACAGTCTGATCCCAGTCCTTTTGGTACTTAACTGATTTCAAAAGTATATGCCTTGCTATCCCAACTGGACTGATGGCTGCCACTACCCACATGTGGCTATTTAAATTAAACAAATTAAGATGAAATAAAATTAAAACTCCAGTTCCTCAGGCACACTTGCCACATTTCAAGGGCTCAACAGCCACATGTGTATTGGTCAGTGCAGAGAGAACATTTTGCATCAGAGAAACTTCTAAATGACAGTGCAGTGAGTCCATGTATGGCTGTCACAGCTGCAGCTACCTTCATGATCTCTCTATGAATATTGCTTACTCAGAAGTAAATATGTATTCTGACCACAGATGGTGATAGATTTTCTTTCTAAACTCTGATTCCCATTTTTAGTAAAATAAGAAGCTCAGAAAATCAGTCTTGACTGTAAACATCACTCAGCATTTTGAATCAAGTCTCAAAACCCTTGCCTTCTCTCAGTTCTCACCCTCCGTGACCTCTCTCTCTGCTGTATTGCCATTATGTAGAGATTTCCCTCTCCTACTTTAAATGTATTCTTTCTTTGCTTCCACGATGCTGTAACAACAAGAATGATCATTGTTAATTTGCTGAGCTCTTACACATGCAGGGACATACCTCAACAACTATATTAGGTAAATACTATTATTCTTGCCATTTTAGAGATTAGGTATATGAAGTTCAAAGAGGTTAACTGATTTGCTCAAGGTCATGGAGGCTAGTAAGTGGTGGTGCTGGGTCTAAAACCCAACTCTCTTTAAAGGCTCTTCTCAAGAGTCATTACTAGATCAAATGCCCCAAATAGGCGGGGCAAACCATCAATTCCAACATCAAAGAATGGAAACAATCCATTCAAGAGTTTCCTCTTCTCTTCCTTCTTTCCCTGCTCTTCTAAAATTCTCTTATCTATCTCACATACCCCTCTGGTAGATTTTCAAGATCTTAACAGCCCATGGAATTTAAAGCCAATTACAAAGTGAGAAAAAAGGAACCACAGTAGGTCAGGGAGAGCAGGGTCCATGCACTGCCCTTTGTTTTCAAGAATTCTGTTTTCTCCTAAATACCCTGTAGGTCCTTAACATTAAAACCTGTGTTGTTCAGGACTTTGAGTTTCGATTCAAGCACTCTGCCAAAGGTCTATTTTAATTACAACCAGAGACCATTTACAACTTTTCTGTTCTCTGTTCTGGGCTTTGTGTCCAGCAGCTGCTCCAGTGCTCGTCAAACATGACAGAGACATGCCGGAGGAGTTCTGCTTTAGGTTGGAATGGTCACCTGCTTACTAGAGTTCACATTACCCTGTCTACTGATACCCTAAAGCACGTCAAATGCAGCATTCCTGGCCCGGAGACAGAGGGTGAGGATATAGAAAAAAAGCATATAGCAACCTTGCCCCCTGCCATAATGAAAAAGAGATGGTTAATCCTGCTGATCCCCCAAACTCACCAGGCTACCCTAATGTGTTCTGAGCTACACAAGGCCGAGCTACTGGAGACAGGGAGCTAAGTTAGTGACTATGCATACCTTTTGGAGTTTGGTCTCCATTACTTAGGTTAAAGAATAAGGACTATGGGAAATCTCTGTACATTTCCCTCAGTTTTGTTGTGAACTTTAAACAGCTGTAAAAAATAAATTCTTAATAAAATAAAAAAGAAGAAAGAATACTGTCTTCTCATCCTAGTCCTTCAACTAACTGACTGAGTGTGTGTGTGTATACAAATATTTAATGAGAACTTTAATGAGAACTTTTTTCCTTTTATTATCTACATATGCACTATAAACATTATAGGGTTTTTTGTTCATATATTTTACACAAATGTAATCATAAAATTTTATGGAATTTTCCCTCAACAGTATGGTTTTGATTCATTTTGCTCTAGTTCTATGTTGCTACATGTAATTATAATTCATTTTAACTGCTTTATGGAATTCCATCTGATGAATACACCATAATTTATGTATTCATTCTGCTGACTAAATGGTCACTACCATTCAGAATGATTATCTGAAAGCACTGCAAAAGGCTAGATTAATCAGAGAGAGACAGACTGAATCATACATATTTAGTCATATTTTATGTCAGGGCTTATTTTATTGTATTCTAAGTATTTGAAAATTGAGACTTCAACTGTATCAGCCAGGGTCCCAGCAGGAAACAGATGGCATTCAGGTTGTTTTTCAGTTTTTACTATCACAACAAAATTCTTCAGTGGACATGTATATATGCATGTGTATGTACCCTTGTGCACACATTGGAGAGTTTCTCTTGATTAAAAATATAAAACTGAAGGGCGGAGCCAAGATGGTGGCGTGAGTAGAGCAGTGGAAATCTCCTCCCAAAAACACATAGAGCTATGAAAATATAACAAACAAAACTCTTCCTAAAATAGAGACCAGAGGACACAGGACAACATCCAGACCACATCCACACATGCAAGAACGCAGCACCTTGCGAAGGGGGTAAGATACAAGACCCGGCCCGGTGGGACCCGAGCGCCCCTCCCCCCGGCTCCCCGCGGGTGGAAAGAAACTGGAGTGGTTTTTTTTTTTTTTTGGCGAGTGCTTTTTGGAAGCCTTAAAGGGACAGGGACCCCGTTGCTAGGGAGGCAGGGTGGCAGGACCGGTGAGCGGTGCCTGGGATCGGCGCCTGAGGACAAAGATCGCGTGTTTTTTGCTACGGGACCGGTGGGCGGGTGCCTGAGACTGGTGCCTGAGGACGGAGGAAATCGCGCATTTTTCCCCTTTTTTTTTCTTTCTCTTTTTGGCGAGTGCTTTTTGGAAGCCTTAAAGGGACAGGGACCCGGTTGCTAGGGAGGCAGAGTGGCGGGACTAGTGAGGGGGTGCCTGGGACCGGCGCCTGAGGACAAAGATTACCGCGTTTTTCCCTACGGGACCGGTGGGCGGGTGCCTGAGACCGGCGCCTGAGGACGGAGGAAATTGCATGCTTTCCCCCTTTTTTTTTTTCTCTTTTTGGTGAGTGCTTTTTGGAAGCCTTAAAGGGACAGGGACCCCGGTGCTAGGGAGGCAGAGCAGCAGGACCAGTGAGCGGGTGCCTGGGACCGGCGCCTGAGGACAAAGAATATCCTGCATTTTTCCCTGCGGGACCGCTGGACGGGTACCTGAGACTGGCGCCTGAGGATGGAGGAAATCGTGCGTTTTTGCCCTTTGTTTGTTTTTTTTCTCTTTTTGGTGAGTGCTTTTTGGAAGCCTTAAAGGGACAGGGACCCCGGTGCTAGGGAGGCAGGGCGGCGGGACTGGTGAGCGGGTGCCTGGGACCAGCGCCTGAGGACAAAGAATATCCCGCGTTTTTCCCTGCGGGACCGGTGGGCGGGTGCCTGAGACCGGCACTTGAGGACAGAGGAAATCGCGCGTTTTTCCCCTTTTTTTTTTCTCTTTTCTGCGAGTGCTTTTTGGAAGCCTAAAAGGGACAGGGACCCCGGTGCTAGGGAGGCAGGGCGGCGGGACTGGTGAGCGGGTGCCTGGGACCGGCACCTGAGGACAAAGAATATCCC